AAGAATAAGAGACCCACTGGTAGAAACGAAAATATAACTTTATCAATATGAATATAAGAACGTTAATAGACCACTAAGAATTAAACAGAAGCGAACAATTTCCTTCTGCTTGCGTTCGAAAAGCCGTTAGGTAAAAATTATTCAACATCACTCTATAATCCCTAAATAACGCGCGGTAAAAAATATTCTTTGTCTACATCGATCCCCGTCCTCCTCGCCCACGTCCCCTAGGGCCTCCAGTTCCCCTGCTCCGGTCGCCTCGACCCCGGTTTCCTCTACCTTGATGACCCCCTCGTCTATTTCCTCTCCCCTCGTCAACTGACCGCTTATCAAACGTTCTACGACCGTTACTTTGCGAGTTTGTGGTTCCAGTTCCCTCCCGATGTGTCTTCCTGTGTGAAACAGTACACCATTCCGAACTCGTGCCGTTACCCTGTGTGTTGTCCCGATCGGTTACACCGGATGAAGGTGAGGTACTACCAGAAGTGTTCATTTCACTTGTCGTCCCTCTGTCATTATGTGCCCTAGTCTCCTCCTGTTGTGGGTTGAGTCTTGCAACCTCACTACTTTTCCTCGGCGGAGTCCGAATGGCACCTTCAGTAGCAACCAAGCGTTCCTTTATCGCTCTATCGTCCCGAACATATGAACTTCTACCCGCATACTTTGAATCGCTAACACTTCGCTGGTAGCTCTGGTCCCTGTGGCCACCTCCCCTTGCACCTCTGCCCCCTCCTCTTCTGCCCCTAGACGATTGATACTGCTGACTGGATTGTTGTTTAGATCCCCGGGTAAGGTCCGAGGGAGAGGAAGAGGAGCGTGGCTTAGGGTTTCCATCTGATATCCAACTTGCGTCCCAGTTGGAGGGGTATCCTTAAAATAGCAACAACAATAAAGATGACAATGACAATAGCAATAACAGCGGTTATCGTAACCATAATGGCGGTGGCTGTTATCATGGCAATGACGGCAGGAAAGGTTATGCTGAAGATGAAACTGAAGTGACAGGGACGGTGAGAGTGAAAAAGACAGTGACAGCAAAAGTGGTAACAACAAATTTTCAGTTAAAAAAAAAAAACAAATAAACAAACATTGAGGACAAAGAAAAAACAACATGAACAGCCGCACTGAGCACTATAAATAACACTATAAATACCACTCAACAAAAGCCTTATTTCGCGCTAAAAAGTGTAAGCACCACTAACCTTTAAAAGATTTAGAGCTGGCGGAGGCACTCCAAGGAGAAATATTTGTAGGACTTTTTGTTGTCGGTGTTGTAGCAGATGGGACCACCCTTGTGGGTGTTCTTTTTACAGGTGTTGAAGGGCCACTAAACGCCACTTTCTGTGCCCACGTCACTGGAAATGGCTCTTGCTTACTACGAACCGCGTTTAAAAGGGGAGGAGGGGGATTGGAGAAGGACGACCGCCTTGAACCTGAAGCCTTGGGAAATGAAAGAAGGAATTAATTTATGAGGAAAACGTAACCTTTCATAGTGGAATGTGCATCTTATCAATGATTGTGTGGTAAGGTGGGCGTATTACTGTAAAATGTAGGGGTCATAACCAAGAATGAAAACTCCAAAACGGGTTGATTTTTGGTAGAAATGCCACACTCCTGTTTGCTTAGGTCAGTCTATGACTGCTATTGATTGGACACGATAAGGTTTCTCTGCAGCTTGTCTCACCCTCACTTCGTTATGGGATTTGACTGCTATTACTTCCACTCTGAATTGCCTTCAGTCTCCATTTTTGTATCAGTGTGGATAACACTACATGTAGTCAGTGCGAACCCTGATTTTGGAGCATCCATCATAGCTATGACCGTATGTTTGCACGGGCTATCAAGATTATAACCTCCATTATCTCCAGCCCTATATCTTGATGATCCTTTGGCAATGTTAAAAATCTACAACATCTTAGTAAACCTGTTTGGTTGCAGTTCATTCTTTAAAATGGTACAAAGCTGACTTGATTCGTCGATAGACTGGAGCTCCCACACCAGGAATAATGCTGACCGTATCACTATTACGGCTTGTCAACGACAAACAAACCTTACACCAGATGGGTGGGGAGGAAAACTGTTTGCATTTACCTTGGTTACACAAGGAGATCCGGGTGGGGTAGGGGATTGAGATGAAGACCCGTCCAGGCGGCTGTTCCCTCTTGCACTGGATCCCGTTGACTGCTTCAGCGTTAAATGAACAGTTTTTGTAATCGTCGAGCCGCTCTCCTGAAGTAGGACTGTGTGCACATGCTTGGTACTTCTGGGCTTTTTGACATTATTCTGAGAATAACATAAAATAGAAAGATTACATGTTACTCGCAAACAAGTTGTTTCTTTTTCTTTTTTTGCTCAAGAAGAACGCGTTTGATGCGACATACCTCATAATTCACCGTGCATTCCACGACCGGTGCCGCACCGGGAGTGCTGGTCTGCCAGCTGCTCATAACGTAAGGCGGCTGTGAGACAAACGGCAAGTTAATTAGTAACTCCTAAAATAAATTTATTTTGTTTACTTCCTTCGGCCACCACGCCAAGCATTATTTTCACAAAAGTAATCTACCTACCACTCCAAATTATAAAAATTGCGGAAAATAAAAATTCACATGGTCGTCAGTGAGCATAGGCGACATGAATGACGGGTGTCCGTGAAATAAGTTCGAATTCGCTTTAATCTTTATTCACAATATTACAATCCAATTTTCAATACTTAAAAAATTATTGCGACAACTTTGAATGACAGGCGACCATAAAATAATTTCCGTCCGTGAAATAAGTCCAAATTCGCTTTAATCATCATTCACAATATTACAATCCAATTTACAATTCTAAAAAATTATTGCGATAACTTTGAATGACAGGCGACCATGAAATAATTTCCGTCCGTGAAATAAGTCCAAATTCGCTTTAAACTTCATCCACAAGTTTACAATCCAATTCACAACACTGAAAAATTATTGCGACAACTTTAAGATCATACCTGGCTCAGTGTTTTGATCTCACTTGTGTGTTTGACAAAAAAGGTGACATTCTAAAAGAAGAGAGAGAAAAGGTAAGACCAATAGAACTGAATTTGTCGCTGTCCTTCGAGGAAGATGTGGAAAAAGCGTAGCGGAAACAAACCACTGAGCGGAAACATTGAAAACTTATTCCCACCTTCACCAGAAGGAGAGCTGTCTCGTCTCCATCAACTTCCACGAACATCTTCCATTTGTGCTCCTGTTAGGGGGGGATAAAATTTAGTTGAAATATCGTGCCTTCTTCAGCAATGGATAAATTTATGTCCGGTTGTTTTGCATTTAATAATGGACAAAAATGTCAAATTTCGTTTCCTAATACTTTGATTGAATTCCTAATACTTAGAATGAGTTTACCTGACCCGTTCATTCCCAAGATGTCAGTAAAAACTCTCCTTATTGTCTGCCAGACAATTCTCATGATGTAAGCATGGAGAATTGAGTATTAGACCAACTGATAATCCCCCCATTGATAATTTTCTTGATTATCATCACTTGGCTGCTTGATATTGTAAGGAGAAATTCTTCCTTGGTCACTCAAGAGAGTTCAAGGGTCAAACTATTCTTGCGACAGTTTACATGCACGTCTCATGAGGGCCGCTGCGCTTAATTGTAGAAATATCATCTTCAGTTTAAAATTCATTCGCATTTTGCCTTTGAAATCAAGAAAGTTAGAATTAATATCACCTATAATTTTCGATAATCACGTTTCACGGCTGCATCAATCAAATCGCCCTTATCAGATAAGCACCGTTCCAGATGATTGATCTCCTTTACTCTCTCTAACAGCGGCTTCAAATCCAAATCGAAGGCTTGAGTACAATCGCATGGAACAAAATTTTATCCAAGAAAGAATCTATACTAGGGCACTCACCTGTGAGGATTTTTCCATTCTACAATGATTACCGAATAAGAGAATGAGAGTTTGCTGCTGGGGTTGACTGCTTGCATAGCCATTTGTTGTAACATCATCCTGAATGCAAGGTGATAGAGTTAATATCGACTGAATGTCATACAATCAAAACCAAAGTAATTCCATAAGCCAATAGGAATAAAGAAGAATATCACAAGGAGCCAATGAGAACTCGAGGTAAAAACAGGTTTCCAGCCAAAAGCGCGGGAAAACGCGAGTGACCAAGTCACAGTTGGTTTTAATTTTGCAACTGATTAGTGGAGAGAGTGGCGCGAATGTTTTTTTAGACCAGTCGCGGAGCGAAGAAAAGCAAAACTTACGAAGTACTTCGATACACAATTGGAAATTCCTCTGTGGCTTGTTAGACATGCATCACACACAAACTTGCTACGCTCTAACTGCACTAAAGTGCCACGAACTGACTCAAAAATGGCCATGGTCTAAGACGTTTATGAAAAAAGGGAACTTTGGAAGGTGTATTTATAATAATAACAAAGCAGAAAAAAAACAAACAGAAAAAAACAAACAGAAACAACAAACAGAAACAACTCTGCCTTAAACATGTACCATGGGTCGAAGAGGAGGAAAGTGCATCATCGACTCGCTCTCAGACCTCAAATGAACAATTTGCTCCTGCAAAAAGAAATAAAACAAAGACAAAGGATCTTGTTTTTCTTGATGATTGAAAGTAAAATACTCCGTAATCCGTTACTGATTAACAATCTTCTTTCACATGAGTTTGTAACTGTTAAAAAAAAAAACAATTTTCAATGAAATTTCTCGTACTCGTCGCTTAGCAGTAAACTCCGCCAAACCGTTTGGCAGTGCAGCTTAAAATATCATAGAGTAATCCTTCTTAAAAGATCTCACAAAAGACCTTTCTTTGTCGTTCCTTTGACTTTCTATAAATATCCTTCTGGAATTTTTACCGTCGCCTTCCAGAAATCTTTCCACCACACTGCAAAGGTCATTCAGGTTGTCACTGAAACTTAATTTTAGCTAAAAAAGCATTTCAAAGTTGACTTAGATGCCTTGTGATGACCAATCAAATTTCACAAATTCCTTAGCTTGAAATAAAGCACACATTTACCATCAACTCAATCCTGTGACCAAAGGATTCAATTCCAAGAGTTACCAACTGCTCGTCTGTGAGCACAATGAGCCTGCGCGATAAAAAAAAAATTTATACCCACGATTGCTAATTTAATGCTATACACGAACGACTTCCAGCTGTATCCTTGGGTATAATCTATTAAAAAAATGAATCATTTTCCGTGAATGCAATTTTGAACGACATTCTTGCCGTTGATTGATTGAGCTGCATAGTTTGAAATGATTGAACTGCATAGTTTGAAGCTTGCGTGGAATCATGGATACGGATTGTTAACTGGGTGAGTGGATGATTGAACTGACTGACTGCTTGAAAATCTGAGTCACGCACAGATTGACGGACTGACGGACTGACTAATTGACTGTCTGTTAAACTGATTGACTGATAGAATAACTGACTGACATACAAACTGTCACAATAACTGAAATAATATTGATTTTATTTAGACTAACTGACAGACGGATTGACTGTTTGTTTGAATGATTGACAGACAAACTATAACTAACTGACAGGGTAATTTAGTATTATCAACCGAGTTGATTAACTATATGACTGACTTTTTGATTGACTAACTGCCTGACTGACTCACTGAATAAATGACTG